TTTTGAGATAGCATATCTTTACATTAAACTACGAATGCATTGACAATGAATGTGGTAGTACCCTAATTTAGCTGGTTTTGAGAAGGGACTATGGGAACATTCCACTATCAGTGATTAGCAGTTTTGATAATTGTCTGCCACATTCTGAATCATCATCACCATATCTTAAATACTAGCTGTCAATGGGCTGCAGTGGAAGAAAATTATCAGCTGTCCAAATGCTTGTGAACTTACTAAATGTATCAGGTTGATCACTGTGGGACACGGAATTCTAATCATCACCACCATATTTGTGTGTGCATGCTTTCTGTCCGAGGGAGGAGAATCAAACCCAACCAAATAAAAGGATAGAATGCCTGTTGTCCTTTAGCTAGTCATCATTAGAAATTTTAAATGGAAGATTCTTTTCCTGAATACTCCACATTTAAAATTGAATCCTGAATTTAAGTCCCAGGGCAAAAGAGTTAACCAAGCATATTCATGCAAAATTGCTACTGAATTACAGGACTTCCCTGAAAAATGCTGGGGATTGCTTTATATCAGTGATGCCTCCCTTTCACCAAAATACTAGTGCTAAACACATGCAGATTAATATTTATTTCTATTTCTCCTTCTGATGGCTAACTTCTGCAAAATCTTTCCACGAGGTCCATTCAAATAGAATAAAACTTACTGGGGTTGAGATGTTTTGGTTTATCTAGCAGTGTATTTTGCATACTTCTTCCCCCACTTTAAAGAATATAATTTTCATTCCAATATTTTAGTGTTTAAAATAGATGTCACATTGCAGTGTTTTTTTTTCTACATCTTCCTTGGGCTTTAAAATAAGGTCAGAGGTTCAGAAGCTTGTAGTTGAAATTCAGACATAAATTTACACCATACTTTATAAGCTTTTATTTTTGTAACAGTATTCAAGAGAGATAGCCCAGAATAATGTATTTTTATTGCTAAAGAAAAAGAATAATCATATCAGTTTTATACCAATATCTTCGTATTCCAGGGAAATATATTTTTACAAGTCCATGTACATGCAAACATAATATGCTAAAAATTCAATTATTGTATTACACCCAGGCTTCTGTCTCTCAAAAAATTCAATTGCCATAAATACCCTTCCTCAAATTAAAGATAGTATGGTCTATCTATTGGATAGTTCTAGGCCTCAATATCAGTATCCTGAAGGATAAAAGATAAAGCTCATCTAATATAATGATGCAAGCTATTCCATGGTGAGGGGCGATCATTAAGGATGTCATCTTCTGACACTTGATTTCCCAAGTAATAGTATCCCCAATATCATCTCCTGGTTAGACTGTGGAAAAGGGAGAGATTCTATCTGAAAAAAAAACATGTTTTAAGGATATTAACTAACAAAGTCTTGGAAAAGTGACAGAATGGTGAGAAGTCTACCTCAACATGTTTAGCGCAAACAGGTAAAGATTCAAGAGAATTGTGAAAGAAAATGTCAAATATTTGTCAAAAAAAGAAGTATCAAGAAAGTAGAAATAGAAGCCAACAGCAAGAAAAACACAGGGCCTTTTTCAAAAGAAACTACAGTCACTGTGGCTGTAGGTTTCTCCTGCATTGCAGAACCTATGAAGAGCTGTCCATTGTTTTAGCTGATATCTACAAAGCCTTCCTACTCCTTAATTCAATTAGTTACATAGTTATACTCTGTTTGTCAACCAATCTTCCTAGATTTTAATGTTCTGGTATGCTAGAGTGTGTGCTACGCTACTCAGTCCTTTTCTGTAATCACAGCCTTTTAAAGTGATGTATTATTTTATTTTGAGTTTTTGAAATACAGTAATCACACCCGGAGTTCTTGAATGTGTTGGTTACATATTACAAATCTTGAAAAAAATAAATCATTTTCTATCACAGAACATGAATTGCACAGCAGAAAATAAAGTGGAGCAAGCAAACAATCCTACTTAATAATCCATTTACGAAGAACACAATTCAGTTTATCCATGGGGATATGAGTAATTTTTATAAAAAGCTTGTAATATGCATAATTCCTTCATGTGGCATGAACTACACTTTCTCTTTTCCTATTTTTCTCAATGCTTTTTTTTTTTGCCATCCCATAAAAGTACTTTCAGTTTTTACTATTTTTCACTAGCACCACAGGATACCACAGTGCTGGATTCCTGAATATGAACCCTTTGTTCTTTTTCTGTCAGATGTTTCCAGTTCTGAAGTTCAACTCTTGGTCTGTTCTCTCCCTCAGACTGCAGAAAAACTAAAATAATTAAATTAAATTCCAGAATTATGAAATAATTAAGTGTTGGGCATAATCTTAATGACATTCTCAGAAAATGTGATAACTCTATATTGAATCTATAGTGGGTGGGTATATTGCAAATCCTTCAATAGCGATTTAAATTTTAAAAGGGCTTGGAAGTTCAGGCAGAATCAAGAGGTGGAGCCTGGGATAAAACAGTTACCAAAATTGCCCATATGATTATAGGTTGGCTGTAATATAATATAAGCAGTGAGGAATGTTGTTGTTGTTGTTGTTTTGTTGTTATGACTCAGAAATCTTCCAAGAAGCATAACTCTCTCTGCATCTTATGCCTTTCTTTGTTTGGGGAAATGCTGCATTCATGTTAAGTTAATGTGATTTACAATCTCTGAGCTTCAATCTTGCCACCTGTTTTCTCAGTTTTTAGTATAAACAAAAGATTTAAGATGCTATTTATCTATTTTTGCTAAATGGGTGAGTGTGGCTTTCATGGTAGCATAGACAGACATATATTGACTTGAAGAGCCTTGGCAAATGGATACAGGTAGTCCTTGATGTACAACAATTCATTTAGTGACCATTTGAAGTTACAACAGCACTGAACGGTGTGACATGACCATTTTACAACTGCTGTAGTATACCCATTATCATGTGATCAGAATTCATATGCTTGGCGTCAGATTCACATTTATGACCATTGCAGTATCCCCAGAGTCATGTAATCATCTTTTTCTACTTTTTAACAAGCAAAGTCAATGGGGAAGCCAAATTCATCTAACAACTGTGTTACTAACTTAACAACTGTGGCAAAAAGGTTATAAAATGCAAAGCTGCCAAAGCTCACTTTACAAATGTCTCACTTGACAACAGAAATTTTGGGCTCAATTGTGATTGTACATTGTGCTTTTACAGGTAAGCAGCGGTGTTGATTCCTTTCAAACTGTGATTCTTGCCCCTTCTCTCTAAATGGGCAATTATCTTCAAAGGCTTGAGAGAGAGCATTGAAATCTTAGGTAAAATCTGAGGCAGTGTTTCTCAACCTTGGAACTTTAAGATATATGGACTTCAACTTCCAGAATTCCCCAATCTGAGAATTCTGGGAGTTGAAGTTCACACATCTTAAAGCTGCCAAGGTTTAAAAACATTGATCTAAAACACTGATCTGTCTCAAAGATATTTTTTCAAGAGGCAACTGGCCTTTCTTGTTTTTGAAGACATTTCACTTCTCATCCAAGACGCTTCTTCAGCTCTGACTGGATGGTGGCAAATGGAAGGATTATATTCCTTGCAGACAGCTGGTCATTTGCTGTTTGAAATCTCCTCACGCATTTGAACTACTCAGGTGACCCTGAGGACACAGACAAACCTCCAGGTGGCCTCAATGACTCCAGGTGGTCTCAATAAAAGATTGAAAATATCCAGCTGTCTGCAAGGAGTATAAATCCTTCCATTCCCCACCAGTAAAGAGCTGAAGAAGCTTCTTGGATGATGTGGCAAAATGTCTTCAAAGAAAAACAAGAAAGTCCAGTTGCCTCTTGAAAAATCACTTTTGGGACAACTATGACCTGAATGACTGACACTGATCTAAGGTATGGATGAATCTAGGTAATTTGAAATGGTAAACCCCTCTATTAGTAGTTGAACCAACACTGTAGCAGGTTTATAACAGAGCACTTTTGTTTCTCATAAAGCAGTGGTCCCCAATCCTTCTGGCTCCATGGACTGGCAGCAACAGTGGCATTGAGGGGAAGGGGATGGTTTCACATGTGCAACCTAGCTCCTTTGCACGTGCAAATGAAGCTTTGCACACTCGCCCACTGCTTGCACAGCCTGGTTCCCAACAGGCCACTGACTGATACTGGTAATTTGTATTCTTGAGTTCTAATATTCCACATTCCCTGAAATCAACTTTATCAAATCATCTACTACAGAGAAAGAAGAAAGAATTCCACTGATAGTCATGTAAAAGCAATCCTTGGTAACTCCAAGTAATAAAGGACACCCTAAAGCTGGATTTTGTGTCCAATTGGATAGCATTAAGACCTAGAGACTCCGGGTGAGGCAATGGTAGAATAAGACATCTCAGAATGAGATGCAAGAATAATTGCTGCTAACAGTAGACCTATTAGCACTGTCTATCTCCTAGCACTCCTGGCAACAATTATAGACTACCAATGCCAGTAATACAGGAACAAAACAGAAAAGGAAAAACATTATTGTTCAATAATATATTGCATCCAACGCAAAGATAGGACAGAATGTTTGTCATTTATATAGTGATATTGTTATACTTAGTAACATGCTTTTAAACATTACTGGCTTTTTTATCAAGATATCACATGTTGAGTCTTCCAACAATTTCAGGTCATAACAATAATTTATTTTGTTCATGGAGGGTTGCATAAGCCTCCATATATAATTCCAAATTGTGCAAATTGCAAAATAAAAAATTCATTTAGAAGTATTATGCAGAAGTAAATCTGATATTTTATGTTGCTTTTGAACTCAGTTGCTGACTTAGACTATATCAATATACTGTACTATGTGTATAGGATTTGTGTGAATTCCTTCTTGTTTTTAAGTACCTCAATCCTCAACATCCATAAAATGGATAAAATCCCCTTTGACTTTCTGCAAATTATCTTGCTTTGCTTTGCCACACTTTCAACAACATACAATAGCAAAATACAATAGCAGAAAAATGAACACTATTTTATTACTTTGATTCCTATACTATTTTTTCCCTTTGCAGGAAAGCTTGGTTGACCAGCGTTGGAAGTCCTAGCTCACGCATTGACCGGACAAATTTTTCTAATGAAAAGGAAATCTCAAAACTTGAATTCTCTGGATTTATCACCAGATACTAAAAGAACAAAACATATAATTATCTTATTTCTACCATTGCATCAAACCTTCTAAGTCTCTCTAAAGCAAATTAGGTTTATGTGGTACATTAAGGCAGAGAAAAGTATCACCTGGTTAAACTTTTTTTTTTTTTACAGATACTTTATAAACCCCTGGTTAAGCCACCTCTACCAATTTGGGAATTAGGCATGTCATTTTGCTATCATGTGCATGTTTACTTGGAAATGACTCCTTCTGTATCCAAAAGGGTTAGTCCAGATAATTATACTATATATGTGCCTGCAGCTTTAAGGATCTGTCCAAATGTAAGTGTGGAATGATTTACATCTTAAAACTAATGTATATGACTACATTCGGTGAAATAATTTATTAAACCTTAAATATTTAATTTTGGACATTCTAAACCAAAACGTTTTATAACAAATTAAAAGAATTTTTTGAAAATCTTATTGAGTTCTCTAGCCAATGAGCATTCCTCTCCCTACAGTATTCCAATCAGAAGCTAACTGTCATTATTATTCCTCGATGGAAAATATCAAATGTGTCACATTAAAATTTGAAAATAATGTTGGTGGTATTTTTCTACATGAGGTAACTGCTGAAATAAATTTTGAGTGCCATAAAACTAGCTTAACTCTTGTGTGGGTGGAGCAACACAATGGGGCAGGGGGGGGGGGTAATTCCATGGCCTTGGCTTTCTTACTAATGTTTTTTTTAATTGACCTTCCTCTTTTTGCCTTACTGTTGTATTGAGGTAAACAAAGTGGAAGAGTAGATGGTCAAAGTAATCTGAAATCAAGAAGCAGCTTCTTACAGAGGTGTGAGCTCTGACAAGTGCCTGTGATACCAACATCTGACATTCCCCAGTTTAGGAAATACTTAAATGTGTCCCGTAAAAGGGAAACAACATCTGAGAAAATTATTTTTTAATCATATGTAATCCAAGTGCATATGTAATCCAAGAGCATATGCAATCCAAGATCCTTTCCAGGTTGCTTCTGTGAATTATTCTCAGTGTGCGAACAGAAAAAAGATGGATATTTATTTCTACAGAGATGGAAGTTGAGCATTTTCCATGGCATTGTATAGGATCACTGACACTAGGTTTGCTCCTTCAAATATCAAGGCAGAATAGAATAACAATGGATCTTCTATTTTCACTTGTGCCAACAATATTGGAAAATTGCAAATATGCAAAACTACTGACATTTATATGTATCATCAAAGCAGGCATTCCCAGGAAGCTATTGATCTGAGTCATTAATAAAGCATGAATTCATTGCTAATTCAAATGGGCACTTGAAAAGGCCGACCATGTGTATGAAGAAGAGTATTTTTTTCCACAACCAGATTAATTTTCATTGGATCTTTTATTCAAGTTCTTGCCTGCTTAGTAAGTTGTTATAATTCCAAACACACACGGCTTTTGTGATCATCTACAAACACCCTTTGTTAAACTCCTTAAGGACAACCCTTGTAAATCTGAAATATAAAATGGCAAAGATCAAGTGTAGGTCTTGTTCATTAGCCAGAATATCTTTCTGATGGGAACCAGTCTGTATTTTCTTTTGGGCCATACTGAATATGAACAATAATGCTCAAAAAAGGTTGTTGTTTTTTTGCTCATTCTCAGTTGCTTAGTATGTTAAGGAAATAAAAAGATAATGTAAGATTGTCCAGAATCCCATAGATATCTCTGTGTTTCAAATGTTAAGTAAAATACACAGGAAGATTATTTTATGGATCTCATTTTTTGCTTGTCATGTTTGTATATTTAAACCCATTCCACATCTGAACAAACTTTCCAAACCAATGAATTAGAAATTCTAGTACAGCATCTCCCAGTTTAATATACTGCTGTCCAGAATATATAGAGAGAACAATATGTGGAAAGCTGCTTTCCTGATGCTAAATGGTTTTCAGAAAATATGGTCAGGGGATCAGTGGAGTAAATATTTCTAAAATGAGATGAAGTGCTAGAATTTCATGGAAGCTAATTTTAAAAAAATTAATAGCCAGTAATATAAGAAATCAAATTATGATTCAGGAAAAAAAGCAGGAGGCATAGACCAACATCTAGAACAGAAATGGATCCATTCAGAACAGTCATGCAGAAATGGATGAAAACTGTCAATGCCCTACATCTAGCAGGCCAAGGCATATGCCAAAACCTTTTGCCAATGAAATAGTTCATATTTATGAAGAGTATATTCATTGGAGTGGTAAATGAGTTGGATACTTACTCAGTTTTTATGATGAGTTCATTCTTGTTTAATTGAATATAGGATAAATCTCTTAGAGGAGTAAAGTCAACTGCTTATTTGCTGGACCCTTGTAAATTGTGATAAATATCTGCCAGAAAGAAACTAGATGGTATAGGAGGTAGGTGTTTTCTTCAGGGATGGGTAATTCTATCTTAAGGTTCTAGATGTCTACTGAATACAGTATTCAATAAAAAAAAAATTCCAAACAATATCTTAGAATCATTAGTAGCAATTAAGTCCCAAAGTTTATTTGATAATGAAGATTAATTGGATCCTTTCAGTGTTAATTTGAGATTTGATGAAAAAACATAAATAGCCTGAGTTGCATTGGTGGGTGACTTTTACTGGGGAGAAGGAGAATTGCCTTTTCTTTTTGTTGGCTCTCTCAACATCATTCAATACTGTCAAGAAAGAATGCACTGGTTCCTTGTAATCTCTTCATGTCTCATTCTTCTTTTTACCTTTTTTTTTAAAAAAAGTCTCCCTTTTGTTTCAATATTTTTTTAACATTTTAAAACAACTCTTTGTGTCTCTCTGTTTGTAAGCTGTAACTGAAACACATCCAGAAACCATTTTGCCCAATACTGTAATTTAAATATGACTTCCAATGATGGTATTTCTCAACCTTAGCTACTTTAATATATATGGACATGGACTCCCATGTCAGCTGGAGATTTCTGGGAGTTGAAGTCCATACATCTTAAAGTTATCAAGATTAGGAAACTGCTAAAAGTGATAGAGAAAAATGATCACTTGTAATTTATTAGATCATGCTAGATTTAGAGGTGATGGGGACTGGGAGAGAAAGGAAACCACTAATCAACTATGAGGCCTTCCAGGTATCGGCTGCTGCCTCATTTCTGCCCAGCTTCTCTACATGATTGATCTCCACTACTGAAAGCAACTTCACAGTGGTTGCTTCAGGCAATGGACTGACTCCACCCAGCCAGGCTAGCAATTGTAGATGCATCTGTTATATGTTGAAAAAGTTGTCTTGAGGCAAAGTTAAAATCTTAAATGATAAAATGAACAAACATATAAAAACTTTATGTACATGCTAGATTTATTGTTTATTTGTATCTCACCTTTATTATTTTAGAAATAACTCAAGCTGTCAAACATATCCAACACACCTTTTATTTTAAGCAGAAACGGATGTGTGCATTTAAAATGTTTTAATTTTGCTTTTTTTTTTCCAAATTATTAAACTTTCAGTACAGTGTTAGGTTAAAGGAAAACATCTAAAGAAGTAAAAACAGAAGTAGCCGATTATGCAGTTAAATCTACCAAAATAACATTTGTCATCACAATTTTCAGCTGCTGCTGAAAGCCTAAAATTAAACTCCAGCTACATTTCTTTTGAGCAAAGATTCCTCAGCAGTGATACCTTCATTGTAAAAAAACCTATCAATCAGCCTTTTCTCTCTTGAAAAATGGTGACATCCAAGTGAAGATATTAAATAGTTAGATCCATGGGGCAGAGAAACAGTATGAAATAATATTCAACAATATTATTAGTCATATAAAGCTGCATTGGAAAAAAAACTTCTATAGATAAAACTGCATAATTTCCTTTAATCAGGATTGCAATGCTGTATGCAATCTATACAATAGTAAGTATAGGGTAATTATTGAAATAATACAACATATTAAGATTTATAACCATATAATAAAAAGAAAAAAGAAGCCAAAGCTTCAGTTGTATGGCTATATTCACCATCTTGACTTTTTATGTTCGTTCTTTAGTTATCTCCTCCAACCATTTTCTGATTTTTTGCCAAAATTTTTGGGTAGTTTTACAAGACCACCACGTGTGGAAAAATGTTCCTTCAGTGCTTTTGCATTTCCAACACCTTGAACTCATGTTAGGGTTCATCTTCACCAACCTCGAAGGGGGTAAGTGCCATCTATATAACATTTTATACATATTTTCTTTGTACGCCGCCGATTTCGTAATCTTGATGTTTCTATTCCAGATCTTTTCCCATTCTGTTAATGTAATGCTTCTTCCAATATTCCTATTCCACGTTATCATGTTCCCTTTCACTATCTCTTGCTCTAATTCTACCTCCAATAAATATTTATAAAATTTGGAGATATTCTTTTTATTTGATCCTAATAAGATTTTATCTAAATATTGTAATTTGCTATAGATTCCAAACTCTTTGATATCTTGTTTGTATCTGCTATGGATTTGTATATATAACCACTGGTCGATTTTAAATCCCTGTTCCTGTAAATCCTGTCGAGTTCTTAATTTTCCTAGAGGGTCTAATAAATCTTTATATTTAGTCGTTTTTGTTATATCCAAATTGTTGGGATGAACCATTGCCTCCATTGTTGAAAGCCAAATCGGAATTTTTAAATAATGTTTTTTGCATATTTTTTTCCAATTAGTTAATAATGAATCTCTAATAAGGTGTCTATGAAAATACGACTGTTTAGTTTTCCCCACTTCCCATAGAAATGCGTGCCACCCTCTCTGAAGATCGTGCCCTTCCAAGGCTAAAGTTCTTTTGTTGAGTAAATTAACCCAGTCTTTTAACCATAATAAGTTGGCTGCCCAATAATATAATTCCCAATTTGGGAGCGCTAGCCCCCCTCTACTTTTTGCATCTTGTAAAGCCTTAATATTGATTCTAGCTTTTTCCCTTGCCAAATAAATTTAAGTGTTACCTTATTTATATCTTCAAAAAAAATTTTGGGTAATTTAATTGGGATTGTCTGGAATAAGTAAAGGAATTTTGGTAAGATGTTCATTTTGATCGTGGCAATCCTGCCCAGTAGAGAAAGCTGCAGCTTATTCCAGGATTCTAGGTCTTTCTTAATTTGCTGTAATAGTTTATCATAATTATTCTCTTTGAGCAATTTACTATGTGGTGTTAACCATATGCCTAAATATTTGACCTTTTTTGTTGCCTGTATCCCCATGGTTTTTTTCTAATTCTTTCCTCTGATTCTCTGTTAGATTTTTAGTCATTAATTTTGTCTTATTTCTATTGATCTTTAATCTTGCTACTGAACCAAATTGTTCTACTTCTTTTATTAGGTTATGTCCTTTTTCCATGGGTTCCTCTAGGAAGAAAACCATATCGTCTGCAAACGCCTGTAGTTTATATTCCTCTGCTTTGACCCTTACTCCTTGGATTTCAGAGTTTTGTCTTATCCGCGTTAACAGAGATTCTAAAGCAAGTATAAATAGGAGGGGTGAGAGGGGGCAACCCTGTCTAACGCCCTTTTCAATGTTTAATGGGCCTGTTTGTTCACTATTAATTAGTATATTGGCCTGTTGGGTGTTGTAAATTGTTGTGATAATGTTCTCGAATTTAGTGCCCAGACTCATGTTATAGATTTTTTGTATTAAAAAGTGCCAATGTAGATTATCAAATGCTTTCTCCGCATCTAAAAACATGAGTGCAAATTGTTTCTCTGGATGAACTTCATAATATTCTAAGACGTCAATAATGGTTCTTAGATTATTTTTGATTTGGCGGGATGGAAGGAAACCATTTTGGTCTTCATGAATGTATAAATTTAAAACTTGTTTTACTCTATTCGCTATAATTGAGGTAAATAATTTATAATCAGCATTTAAAAGTGAAATTGGTCTATAATCGTTGATATATCTGGCATCTACATCCTCCTTCGGAATTAACGAAATCAACGCCCCCCTCCATGAGTCTAACATTTTGGCTGCCAAAAGTACTTTGTTAAACACTTCCAGCATCAGTGGCCCTACTAACTCTATTGTAGCTTTGTACAATTCTACTGGAATCCCATCTGGACCAGGAGATTTATTATTACTTTGGTTCTCCATTGCAGATTTCAACTCAGACCATGTAATATCCTTATTTAATAATTCTTTCTCTCCTTCCCCTATTGTTTTATCATTCGTATTCTCCAGATAAGTTCTTATTTTGTCTTCATTGATTTCTTCTTTTTTATATAATCTTTGAAAATAGTTTAATATAATATCTTTTTTCTTCTCAATCTCATGTTGTGGTATGCCTTTCTCGTCTATTAGTTGGTGTATCAGTCTCTTTTTCTTTTTTAAGTTTATAAGATAGCCATCTTCCTGGTTTATTAGCGTCTTCAAAATAATTTTGTTTGGACCTTCTCAAACTAACTTCTATTTTATCTTGTTCAATTAAATTCAGCTTATGTTTGGCTAATATTAACTGGTTTTGTATTCCTTGGATCTTAGGGGTTTTTTGTAATTGTATTTCTAAGTCTTTGATTTGTTGTTGTAATACGTTTTGTCGGGCATAAGTTCTCTTGTTTCTCATAGCATTATAGGAAATTGTTGTACCTCTTATAATTGCTTTCATAGTATCCCAAATATTCTGTTTTGAAGTTGTTTCATTATTATTATCTTTTAGGAAATAGTTTAGCTCCTCTTTCAGTTTATTAATATACTCTTCTTCGTTTACTATTTGGGTATTTAGTGTCCATCTTTTTTTTATTCTTCTCCTGTCTCTCCAAATTAGCTGTATTGGGTTGTGGTCAGCCCATTCATTTGGTAGGATTTTAATTTCTTTTATTTCATT